GTTTGAACAAAACTACTAACCGATTACCTTCAAACCATTATACCAAACTAGCCCCATGTATTATTGTTCCACTCCCCCCATCTCTGGAATTCAGCCATCTTTGTCCGTAGACCAAAAAAAAAATTTTTTTCCTTGGAGAAAACCGTAAGTAAGCTCCCTCAACTTTGTGATTCTTTGCATGTTTCTTCGTTTTTTTTTTTTTTAGAAGATTAAGTACTTAGTATTATAAAGGTTTAGAACTCTAATTTTTACCCTAAATCAAGATTTTAAAATTAATAAGTATCAATTTGATCAAGTTCTTGTTGGTGTTTCTTCTATACTTTCTCATGTATGTGAACAGGTGCTAGCACAGGACCATTGTCTCTACAAACATTTCAAAATTGTTCTCAAGACGGACTAAAAATTTGAATTCTTACCAAGCATACATGTATACAAAGTTTCAAAGAACAACACATCATAAACCAACGCGCAGAAAGCAAAGTATAAGTATTAAGTTTGTACTAAAGATTGCATGTGACAAAATCAGAACTTCAGTAGGACTCCCTATAAAACTAGGAAAATGATCAACACTGAGATAAAAAAAGTTTCAGCCTTAGAAGGAGAATCCATTTAGTTTTACCTGATGAGACATCTTTTAGATGTGTGACCAACCAACCTATCTATTTCTCCATCCTCATCACACGGCATCTAAAAAGACATGAAGGCCACATTAATCATGATGTCTACATCGAAACTATCAACAATCCTACATGAATCATTTTGCTATGTTAATTGGAAATAAATTAGCTGACAATCCGGATGCAAAAGCATAACTATGTGCCATGCTCAACATAGAAGATGGAAACTGGATCTAATTGCAAATTTTACCTATTGAGTCTTACCTAAATGCTTAAGTCTATCATTCAGATAATCATGAGAGGTTAATTAGGATAACCAACCATAGTTCAAAGCTTCAAATTGTTCCAAAAAAGCAATAACCATCTTAATTTTAAGTTTATCATATTCATAAAAAGTTAAATTTAAAACCTCTTATGACAGATTTAAAGAAGTAATTAAGATAAAAGTTAAAGGAAAGGAGGAGGAAATTGTGCTCTTTCCACCTTTACAATGGAATAAGCATATCAAACTCCAAGGTTCATTACCCCGTGCAAAACCATAAGCACAAACTCACCTAAGAATTTAAAGCAATGGTATGGTTTAAAAAAAATTCTAAAAGCCATGCCGTGGTTAAGGGCAACAATAGTCTTACACAGTTGTTTTAGTTCTTTGAGCCAGTGTAATAGGATATGCACATCCAAAGTTTAAGGTACTTTACCGAAGCTTGTTAGACAGTGTACACCCATAAAGAGAGACAACATCTAAATGTTGAATTAAACATCTTAAGAGCATATCTTAACTTTAACCAATAATACAGCATGAAATCAAAATCAAGAAAATATGAAAAAATAAATAATAAAGGTATGAGATTGACCTTGATAAGCCTCGTTTATATCTTGAAATCTTGTAGTCGCATTGTCCTCGCCTTTTGCCTTGTCTGGATGTCATTTCATCAAAAACCACATCATTCCATTGGAAAAAGAATAACACAGGAAATGGAAACGAGGAAATAAAACAAGGTTAAATGCTAAAATTTGGTCCCTTAACTTTATGAGTTGCACTTTTTTGGTCCCTCAATTATTTTTTTCACTTTTTTGATCCTTTAACTCTAAAGATTGCATAATTTGGTCCCTCCATCAGTTAAATATGACGTGGCAATTAAATAATTTCATGTGACATTTTCTTTTAATTTTTTTGATGATGTGGCAATAATATATCTTAGAATTATCTTATATGGATAAAAAAAAAAGCCACATCAGTTAAATATTTATATTTTAATAAAAGGAAATAAAAACATACAAAATGACATTATTAGCCCTCATCCTCGCGATCCTTCTTTCTTCCCCTTCTACCTCTGGCTCGGTGGTTCCACTGAACCCAAATTTGCTGGGTTCGGTGGAACCCATATCGCTTGGGTTCCCTTGAACCCAGCTGTTGGGATCGTGGAACCCAAATTGGCTGGGTTTCGATGAACCTAGCTGTTGGGTTTGTCAAAACCCAACTGATCTGGGTTTCCACGATGCTAGGTTCGAATAACCTAGATCAACTGGGTTCAGTCAACCCCAACAGCTGGGTTCGATGGAACCTAGATTGGTTTTTAGATATTTCTTTGGTTTTTTTGGTTTCTGATTGAGGGCTATCTCTTGTTTTTTACTTGCTATTCAAAAAAAAAAAATGGAAAGACTTCTGGGAATGGTTGTTGCATTAAGATTATGTTATGCTACAATGTTATCCATGGGATTTTGAGAATTAATCATGATTTCACCAGTAGAAAAGGCAGTAACAGATTGACTGGGTTCGACGAAACCCAGCTCTACTAGTTCGACAAAACCCAACTTTATTGAGTTTCTTCGAAACCCAACTGCTGGATTTAGAACTAGGTTATGTTGATTTCCATTCTTTTTTAAAATTAGGTTTGTCAAGTTCATCATGTTTTCTCATTCTTCTTTCGATTTCCATTTCCAGTTCTTGATAAATTTGGGAGTTGATTTACAATTTGATTGCATTTATGTTGAAATTTAATTAAGGTTTGATTGATATTGTTTATTAAGTTAATTTGATGGAATGGAGATGAAAGAGCAATTTAGGGTTTACAAGCATTTTACCCCATTATTGGTGCTTTGGCAAGCAATGTGGGCCCATTTGAGTGGATTTGGCACCTATTGAGTCACAGGAACATGACATGGCAAAACGTTTTGTCTATATCAACACTTTTTTAAATTTTGCTTTTCACGTCATTAAAAAAAAATATAAAAAATGTCACATGAGCGAAGTTAACGGTCAAATTGACAGAAGGATTAACGTTGTGCATTTTTTAGAGTTAAGGGATCAAAAAAATGCAAAAAATTGTTGAGGGATCAAAAAAGTGCAATTCACTAAAGTTGAGGGACCAAATTGAGCATTTAACCATAAAACAACCATTAGAGAGTCAGTTGCCAGTAATGAGTTCCCGATAATGAGTTCCCGAATTAGAGAGGGAGGAGATCCCAAAATAGAATTAGTCGATAATTTCTTTTTCCCAAAAAGAAGAGATCTCAAATCACCGTAACAAGAATTCTATGGTAACCAAAAGCAAGATGCTGGAGGAAGCTGCCGGAGAGAGAAGTCCATCAGAGAGAAAGCCAATGAGTTGTATATGTGGATTCCATCCGATATTGGGGTTTTATAATAGGTGGTCAATTTTAACAATAAACAATTTTAATTCACATATTTGTCTTTTCTCTTTCCTTTCCTTTCCTCTAAGGACCATCGCGTTTTCCAATTTTGGAAATAAACTTGTTAAGTGTTTTCTATGTTCCTATGTTTTCCTTTTCCTTTTTTTCTAGAAAGTGATTTTCATTTTCATATACCCAACAAAATTTCTACTTAGAAAATGGAGATGTAAAACAACCTTATTTTCTAATGCCAAACACACCCTAACATTTTAATGGCCTACAAGGCTACAAATCATAGTTTTCAACATTAGAAACCAGAATTGTCAATACCGTATTGGTGTACATACCAGTTTTACTACTAAAATGTTACATACTGGATACTGAAATTTTTCGTGTACCGTTTCAGATTTATCACTATAAATATATATGTTTATAAGAAAGATAGATATTTTATAACAGATAAAATATTAATTAAATTTTAATATATTTAATTTTTAATTTAAGGTATTTAAATTTACTTATTTATTTTAAAATACCATATAATATATTTTTTGTACTTTATCTTTATTTTAAAAAGATAATTACAACATATATTAAATAAGAAGATTTATTAAAATAATTATTAATTAAAAATAAATATTAAATCTTATCAATTAATTATTACAATTTTCTTTTATTAGATAAAAAAATTACACTTAAAATTAAACAGAAGGAATAAATAATTAAAGTAGATAACAATTATAAATTTACATTAATTTTTTTTAAGTATAATAATTTGTTCTCCTTAGATCTATTTTAGGAAAAGAAACCAAGAGAAAGAACTTATGTAAACTGTGCAAAAAAAGGGTTAATTTGCAACTATGCAATGAGTTGAGGGGTTGATTTGTGTCTCTTTTTAGTTGAGGGGTTGATTTGTCATCATTCACTAAGTATAGGGGCTGATTTGCCACCATTCACTGAGTATAGGGGTTGATTTGCCACAATTCATTCAGTATCGGGGTTCATTTGCCTTTTTGCCTTTCTTTTTTAGATTTGAATTGCGCTGATTCAATTTCAATGTATCGGTTGGTACATCAAATTTCGACCGAAACACAAAAATTTGATCAAAAAATCCGATATTTAACCAAAACAAAATTCAAATTTATACCATTTCCATCAACTTACAACACTGGTACGTACGGACAACTATGTTTTTTTTTTTTTTGAACAAGGACAAACAACTATGTTAAAAACTAGTGCTAGCAAGGAAGCATTACAGGATATTGTTATTTGAAGATCACTCGGAAATAGCAGGCAAAAACTTATTTTTAGCTTCTCACCTTATCAAATTTGAAGGTTTTAACCCCTCATCTTATATTATGACACTTTTAACTCCTTACCTTATTAAATTTGTAGGTTTTTAGTTTATTATCTTATACTATAACACTTTTAACTCCTCACCTATTAAAATCGAAGAAAATAACCTTCATTTGATAACATTTTGTTAGTTCTATTAATTGATTGTTAATTTTATTAATTGACTGTTAATTGACTGTTATTAACAAAAACTTTCTTTTAACTAATAAAATTAACAGAATTAACTTTATAATATTTTGTTCATTCTATTAATTGATTATTAATTAATTATTAGTTGACAAAAACTTATTTTCAACTAATAGAGTTAATAACCAATATAAAATAAGGGTTATGTTTTTTATTTTAATAAGTAAAAAGTTGAAACTTATAAATCTAATAAAATGAAAAGTTAAAAGTGTTATAGTATAAAGTGAAAGGCTAAATGCTTCAAACTTAGTAAGGTGAAGGGCTAAAGGTAAGTTTTTGTCGAAATATCACATAAAACCAAGGTATTTTCACACCCTGAAATTTCATAAAACTCGGGTATTTTCACTGAAGTGTTTGAATTCGCAGCCCTAAAGAGGGCTGTAATACTAATATATGTTAGAGCTAAGAGACATCAAAAGTGAAAACCAATCTTTACATTTTGTACAAAAATCTTAACCTAATGTCAACTACTCCAATAATGTGAAGACAATATTGTCCACAAATATGAGGAGAAATGCATATTTTCAACCAACATATCTCACCTGAAACGGGTTCAGGAAAATCTCAGTAAGTCAGTCAACATCATAATAACAGTCTCAGAGAAAAGGAAACTTATTTAGCTTGATAGCTGCTTAAACAATCAGCCATGGCTGATTCAATATCTGTGTTGGACATTATATGGTACAGCCTGTGTGTACGCCTGTTCTGTGATCTTGCACACAAATAAGAACTAAACTGTGAACTCTTATCTGCAAATCACTAAATTGTCATTTCTATTTGGTAAATTACTGTTTGCTCTTTCCAGATATCATCCTTTTCCAGATATCTTTCATATAGGCAGACATCTCCATTGGATTTTACAGATAATGCTGACTGGTTTCTGGTGCCATAACGCCCCTGAAAACCAGAAACAGTTGCTCAAGAACTTTACTTTGGTTGGGGACTTTAATACTTTAGAAAGGGATGTAGGAGGGTTACCTTTGGACGAGCACAATCAATATATATAGAACTCAGCTGGTATTCTATCTCTGGCGAATAAATTCCTGGGAGCAGGATTTCTTTTTCTTTAGTGGTATCCAACATTAGTTTTGATACCATCTCTTTGATGGGAAGTTCCTCTCCACCATATTCAGCCAATACCTCCCTGAAATTGTGGTCTAATCGCTGAGCCTGAAATTAGAGGAGCGAGGATCTGAGTAATGCATTATGAAACTTGAAGAAGAAATAATTGTGTCAACAGCTATTATTTTCTGACCAAATTCCGAGAAAGATAATGTGTCAATGCGAGGAAGATAAACTAATCTATCCTAGTTAATGAAAGGAGGATTTCAATCTAGATTTCAGACATCTTAAGGTCATTCAAGAAAAAGTTAAAAACCTTTCTTACCTTAGGCCAAGGTGAGTCTAGGCTTGCATTTGTTAAAACATGGATCCCAGGTGAAACCTCTGAAATAAAGCTGCCATTTTGTTTTGGTCTATTTGTTACATAAACAAGGCTTTTGGAGCAAAGATCAGCAAGCACCAGGTTGAACCCATTATACAGATTGGCCTCTGCCACAACCTCTTCAGCAAACACCATGGGATTCTTCTTGCTCTGAAAAACTCAAGATAACATACTGAGGATTCTTCAAAAGTAATCATCACTAGTAAGAGTAACATGTCCAACAAAAAGTGAAAAAATGCACAGACACCACTGTCAACTAACAAGAACAAATAGTAATAGATACAGACTCTGCCTCTGGCAGTTTTTGCCACAACTGATAAATGTAATGCTTGTAGCCTAGCCAAGAAAACACTTTAGATTGGGAACTTCGTATTTTTTGGTGCACTGTTTGGAGGAATTTGTAGAGAAAACAAAGTACAGAACTAAAGGTTATGGTAAAACTGTATTTCATATGGATTCATAAATAACAATTCACAGAAAACAAAATTAAGAAAAAGTCTTGAAGTGTTATATCATAAACAAACTTGACCAGAATTGTTGGTAACTATACATAACACATTGAAATCACATTAATGCAAATGATAGCCATTCAACGAGTCTTAATATCATAAGAAAGAATTTCCAATACCAAATGATTCTGATGCAGGGAAGCTAGGGGTAGAACAAACAGAAACTAAGAACTCCATAAAATTAAAGATGGAACCAAGAAAACTTAGGTTTTCAACTTTAAGTTTATTCTCAAACTAAAACATCATAACAAAACTGATTTAGAGATCTAAAGATAACTATATTTACTAACAGTAGCCAAGAATCCTAATTCAATACTAATTTGAACTTCTTATAACCTACTAATTCTAATCCTAATCAGAAATCACAAGCTATCCACATGACTTTCCTAAAATCAAAACTTAGACTCCAAATAAAACTCAAACTAAAACAAGTAACTGAAAAAATAAAAACTTCATGGTCCTGCATCAGATTCACATCTAAGTCACTTTTCTATGCCAAATTGGACAACCGTTGGAAAGTAAACCTATTCAATCTTCCTTTGATATTGAAGGAAACAATCTCTTTTGGCCATTTCAAACTAAAGTAACAATTTCATTCCCTAATGAAGTTTCACAATACAGAGTGGGAATCCAGCTGTGGGATTTATTTAGAAACATGATCACTCCTCCTTACACAAAATTACAGAACGAAACAGCTAATGCATCTTCTTGTGAAAGATAAGGGTCTCTTTTCCCAATTTAGAGTTGGGCTGATAGAGATAACATCAGTCCAAATGCCTGCACTAAAACAAACAGGTAACATATTAAAATTACCTTCAAGAAACGAACAGGGAGATGTCCTCTACTCAGAGCTTCAGGAATCAACTGAGTCTCCCGAACATTAGTGACGAAAGCCAACCTTCCATCCTTTGCAGAAGCCAACCATGTTCCACCTGCAAGACCATCTCTTCCACCCAGAATCACACCACCCTCCCACCATCCAAGTGGCTCCGTAGGCCTTGAAACACCCAAAATTTCAAAATAGAAAAAAAAAAAAAATGGAAACCCACAAAAAACTTTACTCAATCAAGAAATCAAAATGTTTGAGTGGAAAACAAGATATTGGAATCAGGGAATACCTGCTGTGATATTCATCCCTGTTGAGAAGTAAAACGAAGGGGTAAATTGGGTGAGCTTCCCACATAAACACTGCTATGCACATGGCGTTTCCCTCTCAATTCCTTGCCTCTGCTACTGTGAGTCTCTATCACATCCCAAAACCAAGAGCATGCAGACGCTGTCTACCTGCAGAGTATCTCCACAAATGTACAAGGCTTAGAATCCACTTACAATTGATCAAATGCTTTAATAACTTTAAAATTGTTCATTTCTAGAGATTCAATAAACTCCTAATACCCACATAGCTCTGAATATTAACTCCATATCATAATTCATCAATATTAACATTGTCTTGTAATTCTCAAAACTAAAAATAACAGAAACTCCTAGTCTCAAAGATAAAATCACACAAATCTCCAAACTTGAGTCATGATAATCTCAAGCTTAATTATTAAACTACTAATGATTACCATCTAGTTACGTCTCTCCCCTGTGCCTTGTCTTCCTGCCTCTGGGTAGTACCTAAGAATGTTGTTTGCAGGTGTGAGCACAGCTCAGTAAGAAAAATAAGCTCATCAAAGGATTATGCATGCTGGTTATGTTATTTAATAAAATCATGAAACTGAATCATAGTGCTTAAAGTGCTTAAGCTCAAAAACCAGTACATAAATCAGTTTCTTCAAGTATATAAAATATCATGTACCACAAAATGTTTTCCAAGAACAAGAACAAGAGGTCTGCCACAATAGATCAAGCATAAAACAAGAATATTAGGACACTGGCTAACTTTGGTGTATAACAAGCAAGATAACATGTTGACACGGCCAATGTTCCCATTGGCAACCAGGCATATAACAAGATGTATGATCATAATGGGCAGACAAAACATAGTTTCAGCTTATTTTTAAACAAGAAAATCATGCTCCAAAATCAAGTATAAAGCATAAAAAGTTTAAACCATCAAGCAGCATTACCATGGATTTATTAAAACTAGTAAAGCTAGAGCAAAAATCTAAGATTACAAATAAACGCTTTTATTTCTCAAAAGAAGGGTTAAGAAACTAAAATAATAATTTAACCAGAGCATAAATAACGTAGGGATAAAAATATAAATTTTATGGCAAAACTTGTTAAAGAGCTTTAAGGAGAGTAAAAGGTGATTCGGCATAAAAAATATTTTCCTTGCGAGAACAGGCATCCATGAGTCTTATTTCCTTACCTCGAATCCAAGCCAGCAAGTGTACTACTTAAGGATGTGGAAGCTCAAGAACCAACTTCATGTTTAAATTAAGATACTAAATCCAACTTCATGTTTTCTTGCTAATAAGATTTCCTTCCTTTTCCTCTGTATCTCCTTCCTTTAACTTATACTTTCCATCCATCATCCCAACTTAAATAAATTCAGCAACCCCTCATAGATATCCAGCACCTCTTAAGTGGTTAGTCATTCTAGTTCTTCAAGAAAAATTCCAACTCTCTTTAATTCTTTAAAACGTACTTCAAGAATTTCTTCGCTAACTCATTCATAATCACATTCGTAATCATGCTCATACTTCTTACTTTACCTCAAGAAAAATATTGAACAACCTCAATTCCACAATACTCAACTTACTCATTGATTAGTTACCCAAGTTTTCTACTAAACTAAAACTTGAAAACTCACCTAATTGTGAGGGAAATAGAGGCATGAAACCAGAATTTTTGCAGTACATAAATATGGAAGAAACATGCTTAAAACAGCTCCAAATGTCACTCCAAACAGCTGGTATTCCAAACAAATTTCCTGGGTAAAACAAGGTGTAGAAATAGTGAGAAACCGAGATCTAAACTATCCTAGACACCAGCAGAAATATTGGGCAGCAACGTGAGGGCTTCCGCTATTTGAAACAGTCCCAAAATGTTTAGAAAGACACCCTGAACAGCAGGGATTTTCTGGGTAAAAACAGCAGTAAAAATAGTGCAGAATACAAGCCAAAAGTTGGCAGAAATGGACAGCATTTAAACAGAAATGCAGCAGAAAAAAGGCAGCCAAAACAATAGAAATTTTCAAGTAAAAAGGGTACAAATTTAAGTGCAAAAACTGCATTCAAAGCCAGATGCAGAAGGGCAGATTCTTTAGCAGATAAAGTCTAGATTTTAACCAACAAAATCGCATACTTTTCTGGGATGAAAACAGCAAACAACAGCAAAATGTGCACCAAACCAGCAGCAAAATCGAGCAACTTAGAACACAAACTCTGCAGAATACTACGCACAAGGTCAGGGTTTGGGCCTAAAATAACAGCTGGTATCAATTTAATTTGTAACAGAATTTAGGGTGCAGAAACGGACTCAGAGGGGATCCAAAAAGTGACCAAAACAGTAGAGAAAAATCTGGCCTCATACCAGCAAACTAGGGCAAAATGGCTACAATAGTTGGAGCCCTCAAACAGATTTTAGAGTAGAATCTCGAACAGCATACTACCAGCTTTAATCAGCAAAAATTGCGCAGGAAAACAGCATGAAAATCACGTATAAACAGTACAATTTTGGGGGTTCAAATCTGCGACTCGTAAGAGATTACCAGTCCAAAGTTGCAAATCCAAGGATGAAATCAAGGCCTGAACTCGGACAAAAAACACCAGAATTTTTCTGAATAGATCCGAGAAAAATCAGAGGGAGAAAGACGGTACAGATGACTTCCATAATGTGAATTCAATAGCTATAGAAGAAACGTTGAAATTTTAAAATAATACATTATAGAAACTTACTGTTGATGGAGAAAATTAGAGTCGAGAAGCGATGGAATCCAATAGAGGTGAGAAGTAGAAGGAAGGCGTTAGGTTTCGGAAGTTTCTGGATTGTTTAAGTAGTGTTTATCTATTTATTTATTTATTT